CACACACACACACACACACATACCCTCCTTGGTAACTAGATGTTATGTGCAAAATTCCCAAGCTAGTGCTTTACAGGTTTTTGTAATATAGCCTCTATCATCCCTGATTGTTGGCCATGCTGCTGGAAATTGACTGGAGCTGGAGACAAAACATTCTAGGAGATGCTAGGTTTAGGGAGGCAAGAATTCTATAACTGCGAACTGCTTAAAATTGGATTCTGATATTAACAATAATTAGTGGACAATATCTGTTAATTATTCTGACAGCACGAATAATGAAATCGAACATTTCATTCCATCTCTGAGTCCAAAAGGCTTCCAGAGCAATTTCAAAAGACACTGTAACAGTCCCATGTCTCAGTTTTACTCTTATAGGCATGACATAAAAGGGAGGACACTGACAAGCTCAGAGCATATGGTCAATTATGTAGCCCCTGTTTGATCCTCAAAAGTGGATTGAGTGGTCTTTACATGCCCTAATTTCTACTTTCCAGGCAACCATCTTTTGTACTGGACTACAGTACTTTATACATGAACTGATTCTATTTTTCAAATTATTGGACTAAGTTATTTCCTGTAAGAGATAATGGTGGGATGGATTTGTCTTTCTGCACCTCCACAGAGAGGTCTCATCAGAAGAGAAGGAGAAGGTGTCAGGGAAGACCTTGGAACTGATGGATTAGAGCTCAGAGGGATGAGAGATGAACTGCTCCATGCTAAAGGATACCTTCAGCCCCAAAACGTGAATGGAACCCCATCCAATACCTGCTAAATTTAAACAACTAAAGGGCTAAAAGGCACAGAAGCTCAAGATTACAGGGAAAAGCTCCTTGAAAGTAATGGGAATTGCTGTTGCTCCCACATTGATCAATATTCTGAACTGAGCTAATAAAGGCTAACTATTTTACAAGGGAGATTTAAAGCCTGGGATTTAAAGTGAGCCAGTTGAAGGTGTTCCACTGCTGGAAATGTTATTATTACTCAACATGCTCCTCTGACCAGTTGTTCTTTTAGACCTTTTGCTTTGGGCCCTAAGATTATGTGTACTTAGATCTTGATGATGACCTGATATTCTTTACCTCTTAGGCCCTCTGGTGTTTGGAACTTTTTTGTTTTCCTTGACTGCTTTTGAACTCTTGATAGAACTCATCTCTGCTTCAGTCCTGCACTGGTTGTTGTTTAGCTAGAAGGAAAGATTTGGGAATCCTATCTACTTGCCAACTACAATGTCTCTTCTGTGAGAACAGTACAACCTCTTTTCAAGGAAGTGGGGAAGGGGAATACAGTCTAGTTTTTCTATTGCTTGGTGGTTCTTCCCCTGTCTCCAGACCATGTATGGATCCAGCCAGAGACATCCACCTCACAAATGGGGAAGAGCACTGTGAATATTAATGATTTGAATAAGGAGATGGAGAGAATGGTTGCCTGCATATAGTACAGAATTGAGTGGGATAGCTGAAATCCTATATAGGAATAAAACTCAAAATAATCTTGATATGTTTAAAAAATTGGCTGAAAAATCCACCAAAAGCATTTTTGCATTGGTAAATGGAAATCAGATGCACGGGCATAGAATAAAAGATACTTCACTTGGTAACATAACTTGCAAAAATATTTTGGAGATATAGCTGATTACGAACTGAGTATGAGCCAGTAGTGTGATGTGACTGCAACAAGGCATATGCAATTTAAGTCTGCATCAACAGAAGTACAGTGCCCAAATCATGAACAATAATTTTTCTACTTCATTCTGCATTAGCCAGAACCCATTTAGAGCTTTGTTTCCAGTCTCTCCATTCAGAGAAGCTGGAATAGATTCAGAGATGAATAATGACAATGACCAAGGGTCTAAAAACTAAATCCCATAAAGACAGGGTAAAAGAACTGGAATATTTAGGTATAAGATAATAAAACTTATATGATCATATCTTTTAAATATCTCAAAAGGTATCACAAAGAAACAGGTGTTTCAATGTTCCAGAAAGCCAAATATTTTAGTTGCAAGAAGGCAGATTCCACTTGAATGGTAGAAAAAACTTCCTAACAATAAGCAGTTCAGCAGCTGAAGTAATTATCAGATAGAGATGGGCTCCCTTTTACTGGTGTGTTCAAGGGGAAACTAGGCAACCATTTGTCAGGGATGCTAACGTTTGGATTCCTGCACTACACACTCCATGGCCTAAATAGCTCCTTCCAAAATTATAATTTTGTTCCATGAATTCTGTCCACTGTGTGGTGGGCAACTTAAAAATCATGCACGATTTTAAGTTGCAGGAAAAGGCCAGAATTATGAGAATGGATGGATAAATACTGGGGTTGCTAGTAAATTTCTGGGGGATGCTGTAAATTAATGAAGATAGGCTTGGTGTCTAGATAAAAAACTTCCCTCAGTTTTTCTGCAGGTGCCCTGGTATAAGGCCCAAGTCCCTACCCCTTCTTCTACTGTTAGACCCTTTCATTCAGAACCCTTGGAAGGAAGCCAATGACTGCAGCAACTCTCAACAGAGACAAGATAGGGACTGGCAAAGGGGACAGTAACATTTCAAGCTAGTGTAGTTTTTCTCCAACTTGATGCTGGATGGATAAGTCCTTGGTTGCACAAAGTTGTTCTCATTTTCCCCCCCAACTTATGAGTAAGATGACCATACCAGTGTAAAAGTGGCATTTCCTCTCTTATTTCATTACTGTCCTATTATAGCTTTGAAGTGCATAAAACCTGTAATATCTTAATATGCATTGTAGGGAGTCCAATTTTTATTGATGATGTGTAAGTTTGAATATATCAAAGAAACACTATCTGGAATAATTAAACATTGATTTGCCATAAAATCAGTCTGAGAGGAGCCAGCTGGCAAAGATTATGTTCTGTTATTTCCTCTTTTATTCCATCACTATCCTATTATGGCTATTATGGTTTTGAAGTGTGTAAAACCTATGATGGTTTGTCATCCATTACATAAGTCTGATTAATGTTTTCCCCCCTTCTGGTGATGTGTAGTGGAAGTGAGGCGACAAAGCTAGGGGAAATCTCTTGCCTTATACACTAATAAACAAGAGGCTACCATTTGGGGGTGTCATGCCTGTGGCAGGATAGGGATCAGCAGTGGTGGCAGCAAATGTTATGCCAGTATAATTTTATGCTGGATCGTGGATGGCTGAAGTCAGGCGGCACTTTAAAGGAGCTGTGAGGAAAGAGCTTTACCATGGAAAAGGCAGCAGTCCAGCCTAGAGCCTTTCACTTCTGCCATCTCACTGCTCTGCAGCCTGTGCTTTTCCTGGGATCTGGGATCTGCAGCAAGAGAGGGGAGCTGGCCTTGAGGTGGTTACCGTCCTTCCCCTCTCAGTGCGTCTTGGTACCAACCACTCGACTCTTGCCATACTCTCCTGGAGAGTTAAGTGCCTGATCACAACAAGAACAACCTCCTGGTAAGGAAGGCCAGCATTATATTCCCAAGTATTTCACAGGAAAGTGAAAGCGGGGAGGGGGGGAGACAAGCTCCCCCCCTCCGCCCCTTGCAGTGTTCGCCTGCAAAGCACAGCACAATGCCACAATGTCCGGAGTTTCACCTCGAGAGATTTCCTGACGGAGGAGTATGCACCTTGCTCAAGGGCGGAATTGGAGTAGGAAGCAAGACGCGAGACCGGAGGGCTGCTGCGCAAGGCCGCTGCCCGTTCTTTACATGAGAGCCAGCGGCCACTGGCCGGCCTGCTTCTCTCCCTTCTAGGCTCCGCGAGGTAGGGCGGTATGGCTTCGGGCGACGGGAGAGGGCGGCCTCAGCTCGTCCGCGGCTCGAGGGCTCGAAAGTGCCAGGCGGAGTTGAGAACAACAGCGCTCCGCCTGGAGCCCCTCTTTAACAAGCGAGCCTTCCCGAGACCTGAGAGTGCGTCGGCTGCCTGCGCGTAGCCCGCTTCCCTATTGCTGCGCCGCTCTCTGGCCTCCTTCCCCGCTCGCTGCTTTACAGGCTGTCCGCAGCGCGCCCGTCCGCTAAGACCTGCTTCTCTTATTTCAATCTAAACGCCGATTGCAGCGGCATCAAGGCGCCCGGCCAGAAGGCTCTACATGGCTGGTGCCCTCAGTAAGCTTACCGCATTGAGAGCTAATAAACCCCCAGGGCCCCCTTCACTTTGGGAGCCGCGAAAGTAGGTTGGCGGGCGCTCTCTTTCCTCTTCGGGGTCTCCCTGCTGTCGTAGGCGGCTGAGCGGCCGGACCTTCTCCCGGCTCGTTCTCTTAGGCGTCGCTGTCCTCTTCGCAGGAGTTCGGCCCCGGCATCCGGGGAACCATGCCCTCGAACAGCAGTGCCCCCCCACACGCGCCTCTCTTTGGGCAACTTCATCGGCCTCGCCGCTGAGGTGAGGAGTGAGGTGTATTTCTAAGCGGCAAAAGACCGCGTCAGAGAAATGTCCCGGAAATCTCGCATCCCAACGTAACGGGACACTTGCCTCCGACCCGTTTATCTTGTGGGCTGACGGACCCCCGAAAACCTACTTTGCATTTCTTCTGTAGCCTAAATTGTGTAGCTAAATTGACTGTGCAGAGAGCAGACTATCACCACATTATAGTAACGGCAGCTCCTTTTCCTTTCCGGCTTGTTTCTGCTCTCGCTGTTGTGCAAATTGTCGATCGCAATTAGCTTTATCGAATGAATGAATGAATGAACGAACCAAAAACATTAGTCGGGTGTCAAAGGTTCCTATATCAATAAGCTGTTTTTAATTGTTTCAATAAACAATTTCTAGAAATTGTTTAATTCTTTAATTGGTTCTTATATGAAGAAGCTGTCTTCCATTTCTTAGAACACAAAGTTCCCTTTCCATCTAAACATTCATTGAAAACTGCCTTCCTTTTTCTGGAGGCTTTGCAACCAAATCCATGTGTATTACTATCTGTGCTGGTAATGGCCCTCTAATTATCAGCACAGATAATTATCTACTTATCTCTCTAATTATCAGTTTGGATGGAAAGATTTTGAGAACAATCAATTTGATGCAGGGTTACAGAACCTGATTTGTTGGGAATACAGGTATTTTCTTGCTCCTCCTAAAGTCTTTTTACATGGAAGTGTGGCTGTCATACTTTATCCAGTTCCTCTACAACCCATTTTGAGAAAAAGGTCAGCCAAGATTTCCCCTTCAAAAGCCACATCTGCCATTTCCTCCTGATGTTCTCCTGTGCCCCCCCCCCCCAAATCCTCAATAAAATTTCTGACAATTCTCATTAACACCAGGCTGATTGGTGTTATCAGTTATAAAGTCTTGGAAAGTACCTCTCCTACTGGCCAGCTGAAAATACACAAGTCTGTAAGTTTTTCATCCCCACTGTATTACAGTACTTTCCTCCAATTTCTCATGTGAAACATCAGCTCATAAAAATGGCACAGTGGTTAAATAGCTGGAGGGGGATGAGGGAAGTCCAGGTTCAAGTCCCCACATAGCCACAGAAACTCTGTGTGACTTTAGGCCAGTCACTCTCTTTCAGCCCGGGCTATCTCACAGCACTGCTGTGGTGGGATAAAATGAAGGAGGATCCCCATGTAAACAACCTTGAGCTCCTGGAGGAAGATGAGATACAATTCTAACAGATTTTTAAGATCATCTTCAGGAATGTCCAGATATTGCTAGCACTCAGAGTTTTCTGCTCATCTTTGTCCCATTGCCCTAAGAACAGCATCGTTTATGAACTTCTAAAGGGAAAAATACACTTCAGCTTTGACGGCTTTGACACTGTTGCGCCACGGCCATGGTTGTTGCTAAGTTGTTGCCCAGCAGCTGCAGAGAGGACGGTGGCATTAAGAGAGGCAGAGCATGGCCCACCCCAAGTCACTGACCCAACCTGCAAGGATTCCCCAGACACCAAAGGGAAAGGTGAAGCAGGCTGGAGGCTTGCACCCTTCTCCACCCCAATTCTGCTCAGAGAAGGTGACTCACCTTAAAGAAGAGGAGATCCATCCCAAGGTTGCTGAGCTTGGAAAGGGCACCTGCTATACTGTCTAGGTTGTTGACTTTGGTGAACGTGTCGATCACCCTCCTGCCGTGCTGGAGCTGGGGTTTAAGTCATAGTGGGAGTAGAAGAGCATGATGGTGGGGTGCACTATGAACATCCTGCGGGAAAATGGACAGAGAAGGGGAACATGGGAGGTCAGTGGGCGACACTGAGGTGAGCTTTGCGCAAGCCACAAGCAGAGTTTCAGGGGGGTAGCACGGGGGCTCACCTGGAAAGGACCCCAGACCCATAGGCTTCGGCATTCTTGCTCAGAGGGATCCACCCTGGTCTTGACCTTGTCGTTGAGCACCATCTTGACATGTTCGAGCCCTCGGCGCCCGGGCTGCCCTTTTATCAGGCCAGGGAGGGCGAGCAGAGCGCGCCTTCCCCTCCCGCCCAAGGCACCACACCCCTTCTCATGGGGTGTGAGGAGCAAATCACCTTCAGGAATGTCCAGATGTTGGTAGCACTCTGAGTTTTCCGCCCGATGTGCAATCCATCCCATTCTAGAGTGCACCAAGCCTCTGATATTGGACACTTACGCTGTAACTGCCAAAGTTGGCAGTTAAAAGTTCCTACAGCCCTTTGCTTAAATATGTTTGCTTGGATATCCCAGAAAAATTCTGTTAGAAATAATGAGACTCAAATGCTTGAGATGAACGTGCTGTTGTTGGGCTAGCATAACATGCTAGGCTAACCAAAAACTACAGTTTGGTAATTTGTGATTCAGGGTGTTGTAGGAACTCAGTCAATGTCTTATCATGGTGTGTGAACCAGACCATCATCTTTAACCGTGACATAGTTTCTTTGGGCATTGCTGTTATTTGAACCCCAGCTATTTAATTTGATTAACCTGGGTTTAAGTTTAACAATGTTATGCAAATCCAGGTGTTGCGTTTGGTTTAACTTAAGCCTTCCCCCAGATTCTCCAAGAAGTTGCCTTGCACTTTTCCCAAACAAAGGACATTTGAGCCATTTCATTCATACTGAACATGTTTTTTTCTGCAACTGCTGCCCTAAGAACAGCAATGAACCCCACCCCCCAAACTGCCCATCCACTTCAAGATTACAAATGTTCTCTGCCCAATTCAGAAGCACATACTAACAATGCAGCAGAATGACTTGAAACATTAGACAAGACACTGAAAACTGCCATTCACCTCTTTTCCTGTGCTTTTCTTTATTTGTTTGAATAAGGGAGATTCAACAAGTGGGAGAAAGCAATGAAATCAATAATTTGCACAACAGTGGGAGTAGAACCAGCTCAGAAATTAACGGTGGTGGTTGACATTAGGACGGTTGAGGATTATCCACATCTTTAGGCGCCCCCCCAAAAGATCTTCGGCTGCTCAGTCCCACTGCAGACGGCTTGGGCCTGGCTTTGAGCTTGGCCAATTCTGCTACAGGGCAACTAGCAATTCAGGCTCCAGGAGACACTCAAACTAGGGTTCCACAAGTGAACCCTGTGGAGTAGAAGAGATGCAGGCAAGAGATGCTGACAGGGTTCTCATCGCAGATGCAGAGAGGAGGAGGGTCATTGTTTCAGAGCACAGGCAGGGCGCATGCTTCCCGTCTAGCGGTACCTGGAGATGAGCACCTTGCCGATGTCGGACAGGTACTTGTCGACTGACAAAAGCACCTCAGGTTTGAGGGGCCCGTTGTTGTGAACGGCCATGGTTGCCAGTAAGCAGTGGCTCAGCAGCTACAGAGAGAAGGGCAGTGATGTTAAGAGAGGCAAAGTGTGGCCCACCCCAAGCCACGGAGGTGGAGACGCCCGCAGGGATTCCCTGGCCACCAAAGGGAAAAGCGAAGCAGGCTGGAGGCATGCGCCCTTCTCCGCCCCAATTCTGCTCGGAGAAGGCAACTCACCTTAAAGTTGACGGGATCCACGCGCAGTTTGTGGGCATGCAGGTCGCTGAGCCTGGAAAGGGCGCCCGGTATATCGTCTAGGTTGTTGACAGCTTCAGTGAGCGCGTCGATCACCTTCCTGCCGTGTGTCTTGAGGTCGCTGGAGCCGAGACTGAAGTCGAAGTGGGGGAAGTAGGTCTTGGTAGTGGGGTACGATAGGAACATCCTGTGGGAAAATGGAGAGAGAAGGGAAGCGCGGGGGTCGGTGGGAGACACCGAGGCGAGGTTCGCGCAAGCCGCAAGCTGAGTTTTGTGGGGGGTGCGGGGGCTCACCTGTAAAGGGCCTCACACCCATAGACTTCGGCATTCTTGCTCACGGGGGCCCAGGCGGCCCGGATCCTGGTCTTGTCCTCGTCGCTGAGCACCATCTTGGCAGGTTCGAGCCCTGGCTCCCGGGCTGCCCTTTTATCAGGCCGGGGAGGGCGAGCAGAGCGCGCGTTCCCCTCCCGCCCAAGGCACCACACCCCTTCTCACGGGGTGTGGGGAGCAAAGCCACGGGCGTCCTCTCTCCGGAGGAGATTGTGGCCTGATCGCTTTGTCTTCCTCTCCCGTCTGCCCTCAGCCATCCACCCGTGCCTGCCGTGCCTGCCATCCAGAAATTGTGCGGTTCCCAATGGGGAAGCCTCCGTGTTCTGCCCTGAAGGCTCCTCCGTTGGAAGAGATCTGGAAGCCCTGGGATAGCTGATGGGGTATCCCTGGAGGACAATGTTGGAGAAAATTGGGGGTGGCGGTTGGGAAGGAAGGAGAGAGGAAGTTTGACAGAGCACTTATCTCTCTCACAAAGAAAGGGACAGGTTGAAGTGAGTTCAGATCAAGGGGAATCCCAACTGGGGGTATGGATCTGGTTTGGAGACAAATCATCCAATTTCTCCCCTGCACCGCCAACCACTCTCCAACCAGCCATTGCAGAGCTGGAATTACTGACACATTGCAGACTGAGTCTGGTTCCTTCTATTATTGATGAGAAAGAGAATCCCCTTCTCGAGCTCTCTTGCAAAGTTGAGAATCCCAACCCACCCACCCAGTTGAGGGTTCTGCTCATTGGGGTGATGAAGATGCCCAATTCGAGCAGCAGCCAAGAGATGGGGAGAGGCTCCTTCTCTTATCTGCGCAAAGCAGCCACTGGGACTACAGCTGCTCCTATGGGTGGGGCAGCTAAGCCACTGATAAGCAGGCAAGGCAGCCTTGAAGTATACTTCCTAATGCTGGAAGTTCAAGAACGAATGGATGCCGGATTCACCTAGAGCATGGAAACCATAGGTTGCCTCATATACTGAATAAACCACAACAAATATAGATGGATACTATATTTCACTCAATATAGTACCCCTATTCACTATGTTATGAACAACATAACATTGAGCATAAAAACAAACCAACTACATTATGGTTTAGCATTTTATGTGAATGAAGTCATGGTGGGTGTGTTGGGGGGGGGCGCTTTGAAAGAAGCTTCTTTACCAATCAATGGGTGAGGGATGACGCTCAATGGGAAAATCCAAGTCATTTCTTTCCATGAGGCTACCCTATCTCATAGGGTGAACCTAGGAGGAAAAAATACTCAATTGTAGCAGAAACAGAAACTTGAGCTACCAGATGTGGACTGCAGAGATCCTGACAACCACCAAACAGCAGCAAAGAGATACAGGAAGCTCTATTTCTTTGCTGCCATCTTGCAGTCATTTCAATTTTGCAGCTCAGATATGGTTTCCCTACTTTTGCAAAAGTAGATGTGCCCCCATCCTTATTTGTAATGAGTGCATTTAGTCACCACTTCCAAGTATAGTGTTCTCCCTTGTATTTGCATTGGGCTTCCATGACTAGCATGAGCCAGGAAACCTTAGGGAAGTCTGGGAACTTCCTCAGCTTCTTGTAAGTGAGGTGGTGAGGAAATAAGGCATGGCTTTACACTACAGGGCTCCCAGAGCCCTGCTTGGAGGGACTAAAGGAGGGTTGTTTTTCTCTTTCCCCCCTCCTCTCTACCTGGGGTGTGAAATGAACAGCGCAGCTGGTTCTTTCAGCGTTCTTGCTTAGTATGACTTCAAACAGCCCACACGTTCATCTTATCCTCTTTGGGTTGAGTCCTTTAGAACCTGGGCATCTTTTGTCATATCTGAATGTCATGACTAGGACACCATCCCCTTTCCACCAAAGGCACTACACTGCTTTATCAGGCCTGGAGGGAAAGGCTCTGGCCAGCCATTAATTGCAAACAATCTACATAGCAGACAGAGATCTATTCATCACATTATGGATCATTCATAATGCCCAGATTTCTAGCTTTCATGAAAAAAGAACTAGTGTATTACCTTTCTGGAAGCTGAGGTTTAAAGCAAAACTTGTATTGTTATGTCCATTTGAAGAAGAAGAAGAATAGGTGACAAACTTGCAACTTGAGCCAGTGCTGCTCTTGATATGCTTTTTTTTAAAACGGAAAACGTAGAGAGTGGAGTTGAAGTTCACTGTAATACAGTACAATTTGTTAAGGACTGAAGGGGACTGTGGTATATGGCTATCCAGTGTAAAGCAGGGGGGTACAAGTTCTTCTTTCTGCTCCTGTCTGGGTTAGATGCTCCCTCTCTTACAACAGTTTCGATGTATGGCAGTAGGCTATGCAGCTGCTCAGAATGTAGTGAAGACTCTATTATGTGTACAGAGTAGTACCTAAGTAATTTTCTGTGTACTCAGAGAGAAGAACATAGAAGAGACTGCAAGCTAAAAAGTGACCTTACTTTGTTGAAATAAGCCAAGTTCATTTATATCCTATCTGTCTCTTCAAGCTGGCACTCATGCCAATAAAATCCCTTTACTTGCCTTTGACTGACCAGGAGCACCTATCTAATCTGGATTAAACATCAATTTGGTTTTTTTCATCCTGTCCGTAGCTGGTTTCTAATTCTGTTTTAGGAGTTGAATAATGTTCTTGGATCCAGCTCTTAACAATAAACAAAAATTGTTCATCGACTGAAAGACTAGACCAAATATATAAATTTCTCAATCTTAGACCCTATTTATTATACAAGCTGCTCAGTCACCAGGACTCTTTGAAATGGGAGACCTTTCTTGGACGCTATCAAGATTTTTAAATTCCAGAAACAAGCATGTAGAAACAAGCAAAATGTATGTGCGATGAAAATTCCAAGGAGTGCAAAATAAGTATTAGTTTAGCTTATGAAAAAAGGGGCTAAACGACAATTTGAAAGTAAGGTGGGTTCCAGCCTTACGAAGAAAAATCAACCAAAGTGTTGTAATAATATATATGGCTGTTACAACCAGGTCCTACATTTCATGGAAAATTCTTGTGGACACCCACACCATTCAGTATCTCCTTGGCTTGCACTCCAGTCTGCCCCACAACCTGTGGCTTAGAAAAGCTGCATCCTAGCTGATGCTGAGGATTGCCTGCAGTTACCTGTGCTCTGGTGCTCTGCAGGCTGCTTTCATAAAACATTGCAGTGCCAAGGAGGAAGGGTAAGTGGGGGTCCCGCTGAACCATTATCACTATTCCTGATATTAATGCATAAGCCCTGCTTTTCGCTGTCATGAAAGGCTTCCTTATCCTCATAACCACTTCTGTAATAATGGGGAGATTGTCAAGATGACTGACCTCAGGCATGTGATTCTCAGGAAGAAAAAGACAGCAATACCTAAGCATAGCTAGAAGATGGTGCCACTGCAGAAGAAATTGGGGGTAGATGCAAGTTTTGAAAACCGCTCCTTGGTCTGGCTTCTTCAAAACATTAGTAGAGGTCCAAAGAGTAATAATGCAAGAGACCCCAGAAGTGAAAGGCAGCCTATGGGGATGCAAATGTGATTCAGACTGGAAGTTTTGGCTCCTCCTGTGCTTCTGACTCTTCTCCCACGATCCCCTTTGGGAAGTAAGGTGGGACTTCTATCCATTACTGAGGATTAAGGATCACTGAGGGAATCCTCCCTCTCTTGTTAAGTCTGGGAGAAGGGCCCTTGGCTAGTTGGATGGGGGATACACTGCCACTAAGACAACCCTATTTTTCCTCTCTTTTCTCCACCATCCCAACTCAATTGTCTAGGGCAGCGGGAGGGCACAAGATGTGGTGGAAGAGGGAGAATCTCACTTGGCGACTCTTGAATATACAGAGGAGGAAAGGGTAAGGGCTTCGGGCTTTGCACTAGCATCAAGGAGATATTTCAGGAAGAGATACTTCTTCACCCGTACACATAACCCCTAGCCCCTGGTCTTCATTCATCAACAGTGTCCCTGGGATTGCATGGCAATGGCTAGTATTACCTTTTCCCCCTGGTACTGGCCTTATCCCTGGGTCATGATCATAACGCTTTATAAGCTGCCCTCGGGGCCATGGATAACACAAATAGCAATCCATCACTATTTCCATGGATATGCGTAGGCATGATTTGCAGAGGTGTCTATTTAGAGCTCCAGCTACAAAGCACACGGGGTTATGAGGACTATGCTAACAAAGCTGAGTAGAAGCTGGGTTCTCCTAAGAATGTGCAGCAAGGCAAGGCTTGTCTCAGGCTCTGGGCAGTGGCTCTGGGCAGGGCAGCGAGGTCCCTGATAAGCAAGCAGGGCCCTTGGAAGCCTATTCCCCAGGCATGAGAGGGAATGGCTGCCACTGACTGATTTCATGCATCAGACCAAGCCATCGTTTGCTTCGCCTTGTTTTATGAAACAAACTACAGCTAGCTGGGTTTTCTCTACCTAGTAATCTTGAGCTATACTTTACAGCAGATTAAGCCAAAAATACAAATACAATATCATGGTACATCTCAGTGTGTTGAGTGAACACAGTTGGGGGGGGCAGGATGAGAGACTGTGAAAAGAAAACCTACACTCTGGGATAGGAGTTAGAATCCTGGATTAAACTGCTTTTCTGAAAATAGCCTACAAATGTTATTAACATTCCTAGCACTTGGTGAAGTACTCTGCTTCAGTCCCATGGAAACCAATGGACAAAAAGCACTTTTTAAGGACTGGATTACCCAGGATTTCTCTTTCTTCTGCTGACCATAACCTACAGTTTTAATAAAAAGAATCCTGTTTGCTTCTAAAGCAGCATCTTTTCTCCAATATGCCCATCTCATGTTTCTTGGTTTGCTTTCTACTAGGCACCACCAGTGCCAAGGCAGCCTAACAAAAGATGGCTTTCTCTTTTGCTTTTCTGGTTTTGCAATTGCTCTGGGATGTCTCTTTTGGTTAGAGTCAAGTGTGCAGTGGGACACAGGGGCTGTGCGGGGTCCTGCTCCTTTGTATTCTTGATATTGGTAAATGTCCACAGGCCTAGTGACAAATCCTCTGCTGATCTAGAGGATTTGAAGGTCCCTGACACTTACAGAAAGGTGGGCTAGATTGGAGTTTTTTTATAACAGCTGTATTAGAAGACTACTCCAGCACAGTAAGGAATATTTTATTGCAGACGATTGTTGCATTGCATACTTCTGGCGTGTTCTATGGTCAGTTGATCTCAGCATAGCAAGAGGCCTATGACAGGTGGATCTTGGGCTGTAGATTAATTCACGATCACTGTCTTCCTCCACCTGACTAAATTGTGCCATCTAGCTCTGGACTGCAAAAATCCAAATAACTATTAAACAGTGAACACAGAAGTCCTGGAAATTTTGCTACCATCTAGTCCAGGGGGTAATTTGGGCCTTTCCTGGAGGTAATGGAATAATTCATAATTGTGCTTGTTTCTGAGTCGAGGATCCAGTTTGGGGCTGCCACTGCTGAGTCACTTGTGTAAAACAACAGGGTCTGGTTTTTGTTTTTGTTTTTGTGGGCGTAATAACACTATTTGGGATCGGGGAAAGGGGGTAATTGGCTCAAACGGTTTAAGAAACACTGAACTAGTGTTTTCAATTTCTTCTTACTGCCATCTAGTATTGTTCAGCTTTTTGCAGTCCAGATCTGGTATTGCCTGAGAGGCAGCTTTTTTTAGGCAATACCACACCCAGGATGAATTCCAGAACTTGCAACAGTTTGAGCCAAGGACAACAAAGTAATAATGAGAAACAGAAATAATTAAAAGCAAAACATGCATTGGAAGACTTTTTTTTTAAAAAAATGAAACGTTAACAACTGTAGAAATGATATATTTATGGAGTAACTTTTCTTGAGCAGAAACTCCTTTGGAATCCCCAGTCCCTTTCTTGATACTCTTTCAGCTAATCTGCAGACTATCATTGCACAACAAGAAAAAGCTGAGATTACTTGGAGATGATCGCCAATTTTGCCTTTATATCAACCAGATAGAGATTATGCCTACTAAACAGAAAAAGGGAAAGCAAAATTGCTAATCAGGAACAAGACTAAAGTGATTTGCCCACTTTTAACAGGCAGGAGTTGGTGAATGCAGCTCATTGTGGCTTAGTCAATTAAACCATAGTTAGTCATAATATAGTCTGCATGTTTCTATGGCTTAACATCTTATGTGGTTTATAAACTATGGTTACCAAGCTGAGTTAAACCAGCCAATTGTGGCTTTTATTCAGTTAGGCAACTAAGTCTAAACCTGGCTGGTGGCATCCATTCCTTCTTGGGCCTCCAGCAGTGAGAAAGATACATCCAGGCTGCTCCATCTGCTTATCAATGGCTCAGTTGCCCCACCCAGGGGCACTGCCTGGGAGTAGCTGTATTCCAAGTTCCTGCTGTGTGCAGATAAGAGAAGGAGTGTCTCCCCCATTTCTTGGCAGCTGCTCCAGTGGGCATCTTTGTCATGAAGCAGAGGCCGTAATAAGCCCACCATTTTTACTTTGAGAGGGCCTCAGGGTGAGATTTTCCTTCCCCCAATATTATTAGGGCCTAGGCTTCATGTTCAGTCTAGAGATGACCCCAGCACTGCCTACCCCACCTTTGGGGTGGGAGGAGGCAGGGGAGGGCAGATCCCATCCTGAAGCAGAAAATGCTGAAGTTAGTACATATTCTAAGTTGTTTATTCTTGCAGAACTTTAAAAGTCAATCTAAAGTTATTATAATACTGTATTTAAAATTAAGTATAGAACATAACTATTTCTCTGATCAGGACATTTTGCACTTTAAAAGAAACAATAATGAAAGAGAAAAAAATAATAGTACTCTGCACAGGAAAATCTCATTTTGATCAATCCATAGATCAATTAATCTTCAACACCAAAGGCATTGCTTCGCACAATTAACTTCAGGGCCCACCCCAAATCCTACACCCACAAGCTCCATAGACTCTCCTGAATGTGATTGGGCTCCACTTCAGTGTAAATTATACTCCTGACACTCTAAGTTATGGTGCACTTAGTTAATTTTGCTCAAAATACATTGAAGTACAGAGGCTTTCTGCCAAAAAAACATCTTTGGCACCCAAATCATCTGCTCAAATATCCAGCTGACCATCCTGAGTGTGTCCTGTATTTCATGCAGGCCAAACATTTCTGTGCAGCAAAACATTGCAATGTACCAGGCTATTTTTCCTCCAAATAAATAAAGGAAAACTAAGGATGCCTTCCAGTCAAACCTGATTCCTTATGACTTCAAAGACATCACGCCCTTATAATTCTTTTGGCAGAAGTATTTCCTGCTGCTGCTTCA